GCGGCAGGGCGCCCTCCCGCCCGCGCCCGGCCTCGGGCCCGCGCCGCAGCAGCAGCAGCAGGAGGAGGAAGAGGAGGCAGCGGAGAAGGGCGGCTGGACGCAGGCGCTGCGAGACGTGTCCCCCCCGCACTTCAAGGACAGCAGCGGTAGGTGCGGGGCTCGTCCCCGCTCCCGTTTTCCCGGAGCTGATCGCCCCTCCATGGGCTGCGCACCGGGTTTGGAAGGCGGCCGGGCCGAGCGGCCTTGTGCAGCTAAGTTGGCAGAGCAGCCGAAAGGCTTTGGGAAAACAAGCAAAAACCGCACGGGTTAGGCGCTGCTGAGATGTGAAACGAAGCATCTGCATCTGTGAGCAGGATGTGTCACATGTGGTACATCCTCAGCTGGGCTGGCAGCCTGCCTGTCTTAAGGCTGCTCATCGTACTTCATTGCTTCACTTCTGTAGCGTTCAATTGCTTCATTTTGCTGTAAGTAATGAATGGAGGGCTTGGTGTGTTCAGGGTGCTGAGGCTTGTCCTGTGGGGCAGGCAGGGACCTGCTTGGGAAGTAGYAGGGATAGCAGGGGAGCGTGGTGGAGCTGGCCCCAGAACCAGGGAAAGTTCCGTGCCGCTCCTCGCGGGCACGCAGACACCAGCGGCCGGATCCTCGCACGCCAGAAACGTCTAGACACTGCTATGTATATGAATCAGGGGGCGATAAAAAAAGCTCATGTGATTCTTTAAAGACTTGTGTAAGTTCTCTTGGTGTGTGTCGTTCACAAGCATAGCTGAGATCTGATTATGGACCAAAGGCTTCATGATGTGATGCTATTTCAGCAGCAATTATAATTTAATTTGTTCTTGCATCTTCATTTCATTATTATATACATTTTAGCATAAATAGAACTGGGATTAGCATTTTACTGATGGTTTGAAAGTYAGCTTGACATTAACTCTGGAATTCAGATTTCACTCAGTGCCTTTCACTCAAAGGAGTCTGATGTGAGTCTCAGAAATAGAGAAAGGCATGTGGGTATTGATTTGACTGTTTCCTCCTAGAAATAGGTGCAGTAGGGTTTGCTGCTGCCCGTTCATTCTCTTCATGATGATGCTGATGACAGATGCTGCATGCTGTTCATATGTGGTGATTTRGTTTGGCAGGAGTTCAGTTGGTGCAGGGTTTTCATAGGTGTGAGACRGTGGACTTGTCCATAATTTGGAATTTGAGTAGTCAAACTGTTGCACTGTGTAGCTTAAGCTACTCTGTTTTGTGTTCTGGTCCATAGTCAATTAATTTTAGGCCATGCCTATATTGCTATTAGAATCACATCGAGCATGATTGCACTTACACCATTGTCACTCCCCTGGACACTGTTCCGACCCAAGAGTTGGGATCGATGTTCACCGACCAAAAGGCTTCAGCTGCAATGATGTAAGTCCACTGTAAACACGGCATATCTTTCAGTCACTAAAAGACAAGTGTAAGGAAAAATACAAGCAAGAAATGCAGGGTGAAGCGCAGAGGCCCAACAAAATCTTCTCAATTAAAATGTGTTGGATGAAAGAATCATTTCTTTTTAGTTTCCAAGCTTAAGAGGAGGAGTTTTTCATTAGACTGAGATAAAACTTATGTTAGCACCAGAGCTTYTGAGAATTTCCTTTTGGGTGAAATCTCAAGTATCAAGACTTAATTCACTGTTCTTAGTGGTAAATGCCTGACTCTTGTCCTCTTGGACAAATGTCCTCTTGGACTGAAGTCTCCCAAAACTTACTGCATCAATGCTAAGGAATCAATCTTTGTATCACRTTAGGATGAAACCTAGTGTTAAACKGTTTACTTTGGGAGACTTTCCCTTTCTGGGAGGGCGATTGGAGTACATAAAAATAAAAAAGTTTAAGTTACTTAGTGATAGTGAGCTAAAGCCCAAGAAAAAAGCTCTAAGCGAGCTAAGAGTCACTAAGTCACTTAAATAATGTTGGAAGAAGAAAATATTGCAGGGGTTATTTTTTTGAGTAAATTACTTAATGCTGACCTTCATTTCCCATCCTTGAAACCAATATCTTAACAGAGCATATTACCCTGTCCTGACTACAGGCAGATCAACAGGTTTTTCCTCTCAGAAACGCGCCAGAGGCCCAAATGTGCTGGGGGCTGCGGCAGTGGCTCCAYGTGGCCTGGCTCTGCAGTCAGTCACTGCCCCTGCTCGTGGGCATGCTTGCCTGGCCCTTCCTGGCAGGGTTTCACAAACTAGGAAAGGCCTGGMTGGATTTCCATGCTGGGAGAGAAGTGACTAGGTGGCATCGTTAATCAACACTTAAGTTTGTATCGCTGTCTTTATGCGCACATGTGCACCCTTTTCAGTCCTCCCTAGTTAATGTTCCACTTGTGGGGCAAGGGGAGGTGGAAGGAGTGGGAGCTCAGCCTTCTGGGGCAGGGGAAGAAATGAATAATTTTAGCCAACTTCCTTTGTGGAAGTCCCAAGTGATGTTATTTCTAACAGAGGTTAGAACAAAAGGGTTAGTGGCTCTTGGTGTTATTTCCATTTAAGCTGTTCTGCAAAACGATTCTCTTTAGCGGCTGAGGAAAATAAAGCATGTTTTCTGATGTTCTGCTTTTTAGACTGATCCAACTAGTGGCAGGATGTGGCTCTGACCACATAGATTGAAGAAACAAGGGAGCTTGTGCCTGTCACAAGCACCAAAGCAGTCATGTGAGTTCTGACATGCTGGTGCTTGAGTCACAGGTGGGAGAGCTCGRAGACAGCGTCCCCAAATCCCTTTCCTTTCACAAAAAGTGCCAGTCTAATGTAGGCCTATCAGGAGGCCGGCAGGTATGTTTAGAAGGATAATGTTATCCAGGGTCAAATACTGGATCCAGATGTGTTTTTAGCATCTTGCTTCCTCTGCTTCATGTCCTTCCTAAATCTCACTCTGAAGGAGAAGCAGGACTGATTTGTGGACAAATAGAATTGATTTCTTAGAAGCCTTAAAAAAAAAAAAGAGGGGGAAGTGTGTGCTCTAACCTTTGCCCAAACAGAATTTTTAGTTTGGAAGAAGGGGTGAGTGGGGCTTAGGGCTTTCCTGGCTTCCCTTCCTTTGGAAGGGAGGACAGAGCTACTTGTGAAAGCGGAGAAAGAATGAGCCCTGCTGCAACAGGGAAAGCGTAATTGAGATGGAAAGAAAGCAACTATTACTGCAACTAGCAACTAATACAGAGCCTCCACAGCGTCCCTGGGCAGCAGTCCAGTGTTTGACCACCCTCACAGTGAGAAAGGTTTGTTGTGTGTCTAATTGCAAGAGCCTGTTTGCATGGCACTTTGTCAAGACTTAGCTCTCCTTTGGATACCTTCAGTGTTACCATTGCCTGAGTGTTAAATGAGAGAAGTGAATTTAGTTTCTGCAAGCTAGTCGCCAGTATTCATATTCATGCAATACAATATATATTGACCAAGCATGGAGCTGTTCATCTGACCTGTGCTCTAAGTTGTTTTAGGAGAGTTTGTTACAGTTAAATAATCAAAGGAGAGGGAAGAGGTGTGGGAGAGGGGGAAGGGCTTTMGTCCATGATTTGACTGGCTGTAATCTTAACTGAGCAAGGAGCTGGAGGAGCTGCAACGTATGTGCTGTTCCCAAGAGTAGAGGGCTTGGGTGGAAAGGCTGATGGGAAGGCAAACTCCAGCAGCAGGTAGACTGGAGAAAGCTCTTTGTTCAGACAAGGCAGCAAAAGTAACTACTTTACACCTGACCTATACACCTGACACCGTCTAAAGATGATGTTGATCTTGCTTCAAATCCTGAACTGAATCTGAAGGCAGTAGAGATTTATTGGATTGGAGTTGATGCTTAGGGGATTCTGGAGCTGGAAGAAAACTTGTGAACACTACTTAGTTGCTTAGGCCAGATTCTGCTTTAGAAATACCTGGGCCAAATTCTCTGATTGCAAGTGGAGATAGTGCCCCTGATGTGCTTTGTTCTTGCTTATTTATCTCATCAGAGAAATTGGCTTCTTTTGACTTGTATAACCATGGGCAAAATGGCAGATCTATATAAGCTGCTTTTGCATTCTAAGTAAGAAATTATTTATATCCACCTAGATGTGTTGTGATGTTCTTATGATAAATACATAACAATGACGCACGCTACCACTTTGCAGATCCTCTTAAAGGATGATTTAAAGGATTTGATATTTTGCTAAATAAGTGAATTATGAAAAGACTTAATATATCCTAGATCTTATGAAATCTAAATGTGTTTTTAGATGTTTTTCCTAAACTTAGAGTGTATCTTTCTTCATCTGTCATCAAAGTGATGCAAGCGTGGACAGCCTTGTTAATCTTAGTTTAGTGCAACTTAGCTCTCTATCTTCCWTCTCTTGCCCATAGCTCTGCATTTGGTGAATAAGTTAAAACTCTGATAAACTTTATGGAAAAGACTTATTTTTTTCTCTGCTTATGTAAAGACAACTGTTGTTGGTGCAGTACTTGAGACATGAAAGTCTCAGTGTTGCAAATTAAGGTCTTCTCCATAGACTCTGGCTAGACTTTTACAGAGGAAAAGAAATATATTTACTCCTAACTCCTTTATGATATCAGTTGACTGTTTTCCTCTTGCAGCTATTGAGGGGGTCATTTCAATGAAATTCGCTAYTTCCTGCAGGCCTTTTGTCAACATTGTGAACGCAGAGCAACCAATTTCCATGTCTGTGTGCTCCTGATCAGCCTGGAGAGGAAAGGAGCTGCTTGGCTGAGTCCAGTGAGGATGTTAATAGCTCACAGAATCACACAAGAGTTGAGGTTGGAAGTGACCTCCAAAGATCATCTAGCCAACCCCCCTGTTCATGTGAATTTTATATAGATGGCAAGCTCACAAGAAGTCCTTATGGATGCCATAGACTTAAAGGAAGTCTGGAGTTTCTTTGGCATAACTTTTCAGGCAGGTTGTCTTGTTTTCCTCCCATGCTCAAGCTTATTCCAAAAAATTGGATCAATTTTGTAATATGAGGCACTTGATGAAGTGGAGGTGATCGTGGGTACAGCTACATGCTTTATCTAGAAATTGATTATATTTAATAGCTATAGATCTTCACCATATTTTAGGTAATAGAAGGAATGAGTAGATACTGTGCTTAGGGATCGTGCTTAAGGTGTTTAGATAGTGTGCTGATATTTATC